CAAAAATCTTGTAACTCACTTTCAAATATAAAAACAATTATTTTACTGTATTTCAACAATGACATTAAAAATTGTATAAATATTCCAGTTTTAAAAAGAAAGGAAGATGTCACAGCACTAAATTTGTTGAGACAGGAATTTTTTTTCGCTCTCCTGAAAATTCATGATTTTTGAGATACAAGGTTTTGTCACCCCACCGCCGATATATGAGACATTTAAAGGAATTGCAGAAAAGTAATTGCAAAAAGTGTACAAAAAGAAAGAGATGGTGATGGAATGGAATTGAATTTAACACTTACACATTTGCCACACTCAACCCAGGTGATGTTAATGGGTACCTGGCAGGAATTAATTCCTTGAAATGCTGGAGCGCTGTATACGGCAGCTAGGCTAAAGCCGGGGTAATAATAAATGCGCCTCTGAATAGAAATGCCTATTATTATTATTATTATTATTACATGTATATAACAATTGTGGATGAACTACTCACCTTTGAGTTTTTTCCTTTCCTTGCCAGTGTTTCAAAAAAACAACGATGGTATGCACCCCGAAGGACAACTTTCCTCAATGATGACATGGAGCATATTATCTTTGCCACCTCAAGTGACATAGTACGTCCACAATCTCTATCAATATGGAGTTTAACCTGGATAAAATGACAAAGTGATTACAGATGTGATACAGAATATACTTGTAGATGTTCACTTGGATGTTAGGCATATAAATGTGTACTAATTAGCTAAATGAGTCCTGCTAAAACTACACAGAGTAAGAGGGAAAAGGAGATTATGAGTTTACAGGCTGACGACTACCGCCACAACATTTCATATCAAATTCTTTATTTTGCAACAGTAGAAATACACGTACCTCATCATAGTTTACCATTTACTCAACAGAGAATCGTTAAACGAAATAAAAGGAGAGTAAAGGTCTAGGAACAGGCTGCAAAAGAGATTACCGGTACTAACATTTGTTTTTCTTGCATGTTCACACCATCTGGTGACTCAAACCTAAAGCATTTATGTTCATAAAGAACATAAATTACAAGGGTGGATAAAGTGCAACAATTTAAGCTTGAAGAAGAAAAGAAGTAATATATTGATACCCCCTGAACAAATATATATTCAATCTCACCAAGGGAGAGTGAAGCAGAAGATCTCAAGTTATAAAGATGCATTGCCTATCCCATGTACATGTATGTTAAGAGTTGCAAATGCCCAGCTATAGTTGCAGCTGCTATCAAATTCAAACTGTGCTGCAATGATTCTTATCAATAGCACCAATTTTAGACAGGGCCAAACTAGGATATCAGATAGATTCCTTTGTCCATTGTTAAACATTTATAAACCATGAATTTGAATTTCAATTAGGCAAGAGATATTTTGGGGGAGGGAAGAAATGTGAAAACTATTGTGATATGTCCTCTTTCCCCAAATTCTATCTCATCTACAAGGTAGAGGCACTGTGCATATAGGCCTTTTTCGTAATGTAACCAAATCTAATGCACAAGTCTTTGTGAAGTGCCTCAATACAAATTATTTCATTCACCTGATAAGAATAATAGTATTTCAATAGACAGAATCCGAACTGCCTATATTAGTTGTTGTCAGGTAGGACAAACATTATGGCTTGACCTACCTAGCAACACTTAATATATGCAGTTGGCATTCTGACTATTGAAATACTATTATTCTTAGCAGGTGAAAGAAATAATTTGTATTGAGACACTTCACAAAGACTTATGCATTACATTTGGTTACATTACGAAAATGGCCTATTGTACATGCACGTGCCAGTATACATGTAAATTGAATTGATGTCCTTGTCAATGCCTTGTACATGTCAGTGTTCTGAACTCTTTTTCTTATTGCTCCTAAAATCATATTCGTTTTGCACACAGTGCTTGTTATTCCCAAGTAGATCCCTTTCTATATCCAGATTTCTTTCAAATTTTGTATGCATATTCTTTACCATCCCATAGTGTGCACTGAACTCTTCACTTTCAGAAATTCCTTCAGCAAGACTGTTTCAGCGAAACATGAAAAATATTTGTTTTTTCCAAGATTTTTGCAAGATACCGTATTGACCCTGACCTACTTCTAGGGTCAAGTAAGTGTATACGTTGCAGAGCACATTTTTCCACGGATCTGGTCTGACATATCATTTCAGACGCTTATTTAGAGGCCAGAATTCCAGGTTTAGGAAAATGGCAACGGTATTTCAGAGTCGCTAGCAATTTCCACAAAACAAGTGAGTAAAGCTTGGATAAGATATTATAAAGTGTATGATAATGAATTGGTGGAAATTAATGATTATTTGGTGTCACATTCGAGTACAAAGATGTGTTAGTAATGTGCATGTTAATTAATGTGTATAGAAGTGTGCAGCGTAATGTGTACGTTTACATTGAAAGTATGTGCGGTATTTAGTTAGTGTTTAATTCACACATTTATAAAGAGGGATTTTGTGCTTTTTAAATCACCTACTTATAATGACATTAGTCAGAGGTTGATTTAAGGTTGTTTCAGTTGACAAATTATAAATATCGGTATGGACATATGAAATAAGTGTCGGATAAATTAGAGTTATGAAAGAAAAAGACTGAATTACAGTCAGGTTTTTTGGAATTTATAATGAAAGTTCAATGAGTCTAAATAAGAAAGACAAGTTTGACATACTTTGAGTAAGATGGGATTTATTTATTAAGCATATATTTTAAAGGTAGTCTTGACTAGGAATTTATCTAGGCTGGGGACCTTGGTTACTCGGGTTTTAATGAAAGCAGTATTTCTGTCAAGATATGTTATTTTGACATCGAGTTTAATGGGGGTTTAGGCCTTTTAGAGAGTTTTTGGATATAGAGTCAATTTAATGAATGCTATTTAAGGCTTTTGATTATACATTACCGGATAAATACATACTGATTTAGTTCAGTACATTTTATGTGTTATAGACATGTATACTGAGGATGCTTATTTTTATTCTACTTTCAGGTTGAATAAAATAGCTCAACTGGCATATCGTTGAGTTCATATACAACCAAGCGGAAACCTAGTCCTGTCTTCATTTTTTGAGCGTACCAACAATTCAACTTGTTCCAGAGCCGGTACATCGAGAACTGAAGTAATGCCGACTGATGACATGACAAGCCTAAGGTTGAAGAGGAGAGGGACCAAAGCCAAGTTCACCAGGTTGGGGAATGTTTTGGATTTCCTGATAGAGGAAAAGCGGCCGGTGGAAGAGGTGAAGGAAGCTTTCAAACAAGCCAACCAGGCTTACGTAGACCTCCAATCCAAACACGAGGCCTATACAGAGAAGATTGAGAACGATGAAGAATTCAACAAGGAGGAGCTATGGCTTGATGAGTGCCAGAATTATTTCTGCAAGCTACAGATCCGAGAGAAGGATTATATCTCTCAGATGTCTTCGTCGCAAGAGCCTCAACAACCAACAGAGAGAGATGAGGAGAGCTCCCAGAGAACTATTGTTCAAGCAGAGTCGAACCGGCCTCAAGCTCCTCGCTTCAACATGGAGAGGCCCAAGTTACCAACGTTCCAAGGAGACATAAGAGAATACAATGTATTCAAGGCTGATTTTCAGCATGTTATACATCCACACTACGATGAGAGGGATGCTTTGATGATCCTGAGGTCTTGTTTGAAGGGGAAGCCACTTCAACACATTAGAGGAATAGGGCGAGATTATGAAGCTGCATGGGGTCAACTAGATCTGCTCTACGGAGACTCAAGGATGGTAGCTGATGCTATTATGGAAGATGTATCCCGATTTCGTCCTCTGAAAGATGGGGAAGATGAGAGATTCTGTGACTTTGTGAATCTCATACGCAGAAGTTTCAATACCTTGAAGGAGGTAGATAGAGCTGAGGATATGAACAATAGTCACATGCTAGCCATCATTGAGAAGAAGCTCTATGTCACAGATCGACAGATGTGGTTCCGAAAGCAAGAAGGAACAACGGCGACATTAGAGGCACTGTTGAAGTGGATGGAGATTGAGTTGAGAGCAAGGATAAGATCATCTGCTCCAGTGAGGAATGATGCAGCCTCTAAATCCAGATCCGCTGTTAGTCAGGTCACAGCTTTTGAGGAAAGACAGCAAGACTATCGTTGCTGGATCTGCAAGAATAAGGATGGGCACTGGACTGACCAATGCAAGACTTTCCTTGATAAGTCTACAGCGGAGAGATTGGAGATGGTGAAGAGTAACCGAGCTTGTTATAGCTGTTTGAAGCAAGCCGGCAGAGAGCATCGAATGGCTACTTGCAAGAAAAGGAGACGGTGTCCAGAGACATACAAGGGGCAACCATGCAAGTTCTTTCATCATCCTTTGTTACATCCCAGCATGGACAACAATGCGGTGGGAGTAGCCCTTGTAAGAGGTACTGAAGCCATGCTACCCGTCATCAGGGCAAGGTTTTCAGGTTCAGAGCTGAAGATCCAAGGAAACGTGCTGTTAGATTCAGGGGCCCAGATCAGCATCATCCGACAAGGGCTCGCTGAAGACTTGGGACTGACAGGAAAGAGCATCAGTATCACAATAACCAAGGTGGGCTGTGTAGAGGAATCTGTGACAACATCCTTGTATAGAGTGCCGGTCAGTTCAGTAGATGGGAAGACAATCCATAAGATATTAGCTGTTGGATTACCGTGCATCAATGATGACATTGAGGAGGTGAACACTGATAATCTTGCCCGACAAGTAGGCCTCAACCCCAGAGAGTTACGTAGAGGTAGTGGGTCTATAGATCTTCTGATAGGAATTGACCACGCTATGATGCACGCAGGTGAAACGAGACAACGAGGCAACTTCATCTTTAGGAAGTCACCACTTGGATGGGTGGTGTTTGGAGCATCTAAGCTGAACCAGCAGTATCAGAATAGAGTGCTCAACGTGCAACTGAGTCCAGCAACTGACTTATCAGCGTTTGGACTACAGAGTCGATGGGAGTTGATGTGGGTTGTCATTGTGAAGCCGAAAGGATGACTAAAGTAGAGAAAGATGAACATGATCTTATCTGGAACTCTGCCAAGAAAGTGGGTAAGCAGTGGCTTGTTCCTTACCCATGGAAGGATAACCCAGAGAAGCTGCCCGACAACAGAGTGCAAGCAGAGAGAATGCTTCAGGCGACGAAGAAAAGGCTTGCAAAGAACCCAGAGCATGCTGAAGTTTACAAACAGCAGATGCAAGAGATGGTCGAGATGGGGTTTTCGAGAAAGCTGACCGATGAAGAGAAGAAGAGGCATGATGGGCCTGTCCATTACATTGGTCATCATGCGGTTGTCAGGCCGGAAAAAAAGAGCACACCAGTGAGAATTGTGTTTAACTCATCAGCAGTTTTCAAGGGACAGTGTCTGAACGACTACTGGTTCAAAGGGCCAGACTTATTACAGAGTCTGTTCGGAGTACTCCTTCGCTTCAGAGAACACAGAGTTGCGATATGCGCCGACATATCCAAGATGTACCACCGAGTACTGATTCCAGAATCCGATCAGCACGTCCATCGGTACTTGTGGAGAGGATTAGATTCAGAGAGAGAACCGGATGTGTACGTGAAAACTGTAGTCACGTTTGGAGATAAGCCTGCTGCAGCAATGGCCCAGATAGCTCTGAGGACAGCAGTAGAGGGAGAGTCTCAACATCCTAAGGCAGCAGAAGTACTGAAACGTGACACGTACATGGACGACATATGTACCTCAGTAAGAACGTCAGAGGAGGCGAAAGATCTTGTCAAGGACATAGATGAGGTGCTAGCTGACGGAGGCTTCAAGGTGAAGGGTTGGCAATCCAACGAACAGCTGAAAGATGAGACTTCTCAGATGAAAACCAACGTTCTTGAGAATCTGAGTGAGGAGAAGGTTCTGGGGATGGTATGGAACCAAAACACAGATGAGTTTTCATACAGAGTGAAAAGAAGTATGATCCCAGATCTTCCAGACGAACAGAAAGACACCACCAGCAAATGGACAAAGAGACGGATACTAAGCCAGATTGCAAAGATCTTTGATCCCATAGGATTTGCTTCAGCATTACTGGTGAAGGCAAAGATAGGAATGCAACGCCTGTGGCAGCTTGGTTTAGATTGGGATGAAGAGCTACCCTCCAGAGAAAAGGCAGAATGGGTAAAACTCTTCAGAGAGATGGAGAACTTAGATGGAGTGTCCTTCCAGAGATGTTTGACACCACCCGGTGCAATGAGACGACCTACATTATGTGTCTTTTGTGATGCATCTGAAGAGGCGTTTGGAGCTTGTGTTTACATTCGCTGGGAGTTAGAGGATGGCAGCTATGATGTTAGATTTGTGACGGCGAAATCTAGAGTAGTACCACTAAAGAAGTTGACACTGCCGAGATTGGAGCTACAAGCTGCAGTGGTTGCTGTTAGACTCGATGCAACCATCAGAGATGAGACCACACTAGAGTTAAGAGAGACAGTGTTCATGACAGATAGCATGATAGTGCTTGGATGGGTTCGAAGTCAGGCAAGAAGTTTTAAGCCCTTTGTGTCAGCTCGAGTAGGAGAAATCCAAAGCAAGTCGAATCCCCAACAGTGGAGACATGTGAGTGGAGCAGAAAACCCAGCTGACGACATTTCGAGAGGTGTTACAGTAGAGAAGTTAGAGAGGTGTAGATGTGGTCCTCAATTTCTAAGATCGCCTGAGGAGGAGTGGCCACAGAGTGAGACGAAATCTGAGATTTCGTCAATGGACAGTGAAAGGCGTAAAGTTCAACAGGTGTCGAATGTAGTATTGGCCTCAGAAAGCATCGACTGTGAAAGAGTTTCCAGCTGGAGAAAACTGGTGAGAGTCACTGCATATGTTCGGAGATTTACCCACAACATGAAGGCGAGGGTAAGATCAGGAGATGAGAGAGGGAAAGTGACGGCAGGACCACTTACAGCAGCTGAACTAGGTGATGCAGAGATGTACTGGGTCAGAGAGGCTCAGAAACCGCTTCATGACAGACTGAAGAAAGGGGAGTTCAAGACTCTAACACCCTACATAGAGAATGGAATCATCAGAGTTGGAGAAGGCGTGATTTCGTATGACAGCAGGCATCCTGTGTTATTACCTCATCAGCATCGCATCTCTACGCTCATCACTAAGCATGTCCATGAATTGGGGCATGATGGAGTTGCGACAACGGCAGCGAAAGTGAGAAGCAACTACTGGGTGATTGGCATACATAGGCTTGCCAAGACTATCAAGCACAGGTGCGTGATGTGTCGTAAGATGCAGCACAAGGTCGAGTCGCAGTTTATGGCTGAGCTACCAGAGATACGTATGACACCGTTTTCGCCTCCATTCCTGTATACTTCGTGCGACTACTTTGGGCCGTACAGCGTGAAGGTGGGGCGGAATAAGGTTGCTAAGCACTATGGAGTGATCTTCACGTGTCTTAACACAAGAGCGGTACACCTTGACCTAGCGGTAGATGTTTCTACAATGGAGTTTCTTCAGGTTCTACGTAGGTTTTTTGCGTTCAGAGGTCAACCGAAGGTCATTCTGAGCGATAATGGTACACAATTTGTGGGAGCGGTACGTGAGCTACGTGAGATGGTAAAGGGATGGGATAGCGATCTACTACGCGAGTTTTGTGCGGAGAAAGGTGTAGAGTGGAGGTTTACAACCCCTTCAGCTCCTCATCAGAATGGATGTGCTGAAGCACTTGTGAAGAGTAGTAAGTCCGCATTAAAGAAAGCTATAGGTGATCAGGTCCTCACTCCTTTTGAGTTATATACCTGTTTGGTAGAAGTAGCAAACCTCGTCAATCAGCGTCCAATAGGGAGGGTACCGAATGACCCCGACGATGGTAGTTATCTCTGTCCCAATGATGTTTTGTTAGGGAGAGCATCCAGTAGGGTACCCCAGGGTCCGTTCAGAGAAACGAAGAATCCGCGACATAGAGTCGAATTTGTACAACGAATCGTCGACTCATTCTGGAAGGCATGGAATCGCGATGTATTTCCAATCTTAGTACCGCGAAAGAAGTGGAATGTTGAGAGACGTAATCTTCGCGTAGATGACATAGTTATATTGTCAGATCAGAACGCCCTTCGAGGAAAATGGACATTAGGGAGAATTGTTGAAGTTTTTCCTGGAACTGATAATAAGATCAGAAACGTGACAGTAAAGACGGCTAATTCAGAGTATAGAAGGCCAATAAACAAAGTGGTCGTATTATATCCAGCAGAAGGATACGAAGAGTAGATTGAACAGAAATATGTCTGTCTATAGTATTCACAGAATAACAAATTTATTCACTTTCTATGTTCTTGTTCAAAATCAACTTTTTTCAGATAGATGATAACAAAGCTTTGTTGGTGCAAATTTCAATTTTTGCTATTGTTACATGGGAATTGACTTTTGGCACAGTTTACACTGAGAACAAAATTCAACAGTTTGAAATTATGTACAAAGTTTAGTACATTTTGAATACATTTTTGGTATTTGAGATTTTGAGTGATATTTGCCATTTATTAGCAAATTCAGCAAAGAAAGTTTGCAGAGAAAAGTTGATTTTTATGATTATGTATACAGGAAGCAAACTGGTATGGAATATCCATTTGATATTTTTGGACAGGAAATGTAAATTTGTGTATTTTCATGCAACAATTGTTTTTTCAGGTTCGTGCAGGCTTATAGATACTTTTCATTAGCCTTGCTAATAGTTTGGATGGTAATTTAGACTGTTAAAGTGTTAATTACGTAGAGTGAGAAGAAGTATTTTTCACATCTTAGCTATGAGTCATTTACAGATTTTGGAGTGAAACACTGAAGAAAGTATTTTGTTCTATTTTGAATGAGAAACATTGCGTACTTTTATGAAAATGATGTCAATTTTATTGTTGCCCTCATTGGGGGGAGGTTGTTTCAGCGAAACATGAAAAATATTTGTTTTTTCCAAGATTTTTGCAAGATACCGTATTGACCCTGACCTACTTCTAGGGTCAAGTAAGTGTATACGTTGCAGAGCACATTTTTCCACGGATCTGGTCTGACATATCATTTCAGACGCTTATTTAGAGGCCAGAATTCCAGGTTTAGGAAAATGGCAACGGTATTTCAGAGTCGCTAGCAATTTCCACAAAACAAGTGAGTAAAGCTTGGATAAGATATTATAAAGTGTATGATAATGAATTGGTGGAAATTAATGATTATTTGGTGTCACATTCGAGTACAAAGATGTGTTAGTAATGTGCATGTTAATTAATGTGTATAGAAGTGTGCAGCGTAATGTGTACGTTTACATTGAAAGTATGTGCGGTATTTAGTTAGTGTTTAATTCACACATTTATAAAGAGGGATTTTGTGCTTTTTAAATCACCTACTTATAATGACATTAGTCAGAGGTTGATTTAAGGTTGTTTTAGTTGACAAATTATAAATATCGGTATGGACATATGAAATAAGTGTCGGATAAATTAGAGTTATGAAAGAGAAAGACTGAATTACAGTCAGGTTTTTTGGAATTTATAATGAAAGTTCAATGAGTCTAAATAAGAAAGACAAGTTTGACATACTTTGAGTAAGATGGGATTTATTTATTAAGCATATATTTTAAAGGTAGTCTTGACTAGGAATTTATCTAGGCTGGGGACCTTGGTTACTCGGGTTTTAATGAAAGCAGTATTTCTGTCAAGATATGTTATTTTGACATCGAGTTTAATGGGGGTTTAGGCCTTTTAGAGAGTTTTTGGATATAGAGTCAATTTAATGAATGCTATTTAAGGCTTTTGATTATACATTACCGGATAAATACATACTGATTTAGTTCAGTACATTTTATGTGTTATAGACATGTATACTGAGGATGCTTATTTTTATTCTACTTTCAGGTTGAATAAAATAGCTCAACTGGCATATCGTTGAGTTCATATACAACCAAGCGGAAACCTAGTCCTGTCTTCATTTTTTGAGCGTACCAAAGACCGTCCACGCGCCTTTTTGACCGTTTCGGGTCTGTTTTCATGCCTTTCGTTTGGCCTACCTATCTCCACTATATCCTAACAAATTAGAATAAATACTGCAAGAATTGCTCTTTATCTTTATACAAGTTGCCCTTCAAAATGCCATCTTCATACTATAAATTTGAGTCCAAAATCGAAAAAAGAAAAATTACAATAACTTTGTCATAATTCCTTTTTGTCTGAATTCTTTTTCTTTATCTTGGTATTGCACACGTTCCTGCTGAATTTCATTCACAAATGGTCATGCATGACATAAATCGCACCTTCTAAAGTTATGGTTGTGTTGGTGTGGCTGTATAGTTCTGGCCATCATGCCTGGCTGAACCTGTACCCTTTTTTTCATTTAAATACGTCAAGATAAACATGTACCGGTACCCTTTCCTGCCAAATAAAAAAAGATACACCCTAAAACAAGAGGACATTCCATGAAGCTAGCCAAAACAAGAAGCTGCCTTGACATCAGGAAAAATTTCTATAGCCAGAGAGTTGTAATTAGCAAATGGAACAAACTGCCACAAACTGCCATTGATGCTCCCACACTCCCCAAGCTTCAAACGACAACTATCCAACCTGGGTTTTTAAATGGGTCCCATGGGACCACCTTACCCCTTCACACCACACTATCTACCAGTGCTGTATCTTCCTCACCACTATGGCGAGGTGTGGCCTTCAAGGTATATTAAAGGTATATACCACTAATCAACTATGCAAAAATTGCTCTCGAAAATCATCCTTCCAAAATAACTTCAACTTGCGCTCAATATGCGAACTTGACCTTGAAGAGATTCATCAGATTGGTAGTAATTCCATTGATTGAATTTTCATAGTTTCACAATCAAAAGTTTCGGTTTTACCTTAGCAACAAGTAGGCAAAAGTCTCATAGGTAAAAAAAAAAACCTTATTGATTGTGAAACCATGAAAATTCAATCCATGGTTTTTAATACCTAGGTCTATGAAACTTGGCAGACATGTATAACATCAAACTATTTGACCACTGTCTGCCCAAGTTCAGTAAAATGTTGAAATTAGTTATTGTTAAAAATGCTGAATTGGCTATGCATCGCATTACAATGCGTTAAATGCTTGTATGGTACTAGTACAGGCGCGGATCCAGGGTTTTCCAATAGGAGCCGGAAATTTGAAAATTGCGCAGACCGGTTTTCAACTCAATATACCAATACTGGCAAGGTCATATTAGAAGCACCATACCGGTAAAATTTTTGACATTTTCATGGGGGGGGGGGGATATAGCCGAGAAAGTAATTTTCTGGTTTCACAATTCGGCTAGTGAGCTAAGCGATTGAGCACAAAATTGAGCATAACATGTATTTTGTGAAAGTGATATTATCAAAAATTCATATTCGGGCAGCTTGCTGTCCCCCCCCCCTCCCCCCAATTACGCGCAGAAGCTTTGATGCTTCATGGAGTTATTAGAGAAAGAAGAGGAATCGTTGTACCATTCTCAACTCTTAATCCGCGTATGATTACAGTTCCCCCCCCCCCCTCCCGCGGAAACTTTGACCTTTCATATTTTAATGAAATAATTAGAGAAAGAAGATGATTTGTAGTTCCATTCTCGATTCTTAATCCTTCTCTGAATTCAGTTTCCCCCCTCCCGCGCAAAACGCGGAAGCTTTGATGTTTCATTAAATATTAGAGAACGAAGACAATTATTATGTTGTACCATTCTCGACTCTTAATCCTTGTGTGAAATCAGTTTACCATCGCCCGCGCAAAGTGCGGAAGCTTTGACCTTTCATTAATTATTAGAGAAAGAAGACGATTTGTTGTACCATTCTCGTCTCTTAATTGTTGTCTGAATTGAATTTCCTCCCGCGCAAAGCGCGGAAGCTTTGACGTTTCATTCATTTATTAGAGAAAGAAGACGATTCGTTGTACCATTCTAGTCTCTTAATCATTGTTTGAATTCCTTTCCCCTCCCCCCCCCCTCCCGCGCGAAGCGCGGAAGCTTTGACGTTTCATTCAATTATTAGAGAAAGAAGACGATTCGTTGTACCGTTCTCGACTTGTCAGAATTTTCAAAAATGTTTCCTTGTTTGCTCCTCTTACTGCCCCTACAGCCCCTGGCTACACGCCTGCTTTAAAGGGAAAGTGGAACAATCATGATTGTGATCAATTAGGTTAGTAGAAATGAAAGAGAGATAAAAAAGATCTATTACACCAACCATGGATAAATCACAGTTGGGAGCGTCATATCATAGTTTTGTGTTATCGGGGAGGGCCAGGGCGTAGCAGCCAAGCGAGATTTTGCAATGTTGAATGCTGGAATTATGCATTCTAGAAAATCCCCAAGCCCAGTATGTCATTCTTTCCGCTATATTTATTTCTAGCTATATTTCTAAATTTCCTGGGGATTGCCGCCCCTGTCCATGATTACTACCAACATGAGTTCAAATACAAGCACAAGCGAGTTGGTATGAGCTGAATCCAAATGAAGGGCAAAATAAGAGTTGTGAAGCGGCCCTATACCGTTAATTTAAAATTTGACTGATGAGTATATAGCTTCTATTTAAAAGACATCCAAAATATTGTGCCCTTTTCAAATTTCTCACTAAAGAGTGATGACCTTTGTAGCGCAGGGGCTGTTTTTAACGTTTTACTTTGAATCCGCGGCTCAAGATTTTATGCGGCCGGCCCGGCCCCCTCTATTCAATAACATTTGCCAAGTCTTCTGGAATGACCCCAAATCTCCTGATTACAGTTTTTCCCTTATTCGTCGTTACTGTCACTTAGCGCCATTTCCTTGTCTTTCCCCCTTTCTCACCCGACTTTTGTCTCCCCCCCCCCCCCACCTACTCAGTGTTATCTAGGGTACACGCATTTATGGTCTCTCTCTTTGAAAGCACACCCTCTATCTCCGATTCTCCGGTGTGTAAAGTCAATACGGGCCGGATTTTTGTGTATTACGGGCCGGATCTTTGTTGCGTGAAAAGTAACCTATTTTCAGAGATTTGGGGAACACAAATTAGGTCCCTCCTAACCGCGGAGTGGGAGGGGAGGGGGGGGGGGGCTTTCTTCCTTTTTTTTTCCTCCTGAGTCCCTCCCTCTCTCTCTCTCTTTCTGTTTCTTTTCTCTTCTTTATTTTCTCTACTCTTTTCTTTTTTCTTCTTTCTTTTCTCTTCTCCTTTTTTTTCTTCTCTTCTTTCTTTCTTTTTCCCCTTCTTTTATTCCTCTTTTTTCCCTTTTTTTTGCACCGCCAATAGGGGGGGGGGCACGGCCATTTCGCCCCCCCCCCCTGGATCCACCACTGCTAGTACATTACGCACGAATGGCAATGGTGTCAAAATGTCCAAAAAGAAATGCCACTTCAAATGATACCATACACATTATATGTTCACACAGAACATTTTGAGTAAATTGAAATTGAAAACAGGTAACAATTTGGATTAAGCAGGGTTTCAGCCCAATTGTAACATGTATTGTCTATGACATCAATTTTAGGACTGACTTTCGCCCCCTTCCCTTCTCCTATACAGTGTGTATTTTAAAAAAAGGGTACCAACTTTGTTAGCTTCTAATTAAAAATTATATCCGATATGACTTTGAATCATACGTCATATGGTAAAGGGTAACTTTTTTTGTCCCATGATACCCTATTCATGACATGTTAGATAAAACCATATTCATGATCATGATACCACGGAAGACTATTAAGCAGCAGGCTTTTCAATAAGTATTGTAAAAATCCTCTTGTACCAAGCTTGGACTGAAGCAATGAATGTTGGTCAAAAGCCATTATAATAATATATCACATTTATAAAGCACTTAAAACAATGTTTATAAGCGCTGAACAAAACAAGGTACAACATAAAGTAAAACATACAGTAATAATAATACATAATTATAATTGTTAACAATTACAGAAAATTAGTAACTTACTTTTAATAAACAAAACTGCCCTATAAATTACTATTAAACAAGAAATACTTCAAACTTCCTAAAACAAATCTACGACAATCTGTTAGAATAATCTAAATGAGAAGTAACAAAACCATGGATAAATCGTTTCGTAGACTGTCTGTAACATTGGATTTTAAAAAGGCCTTCGATTTGGAACCATATATAATTTTACTGAAGAAAATGAAATGTTATGGATTCGATGCTCATTGCTTGGCATGGTTTGAAAACTATCTGCTAGTTAGGAAACAATTAACAGTCATAAATGGTGAAAAGTCAACTCCTTTACATATAAACAGTGGCATTCCACAGGGTAGTATACTTGGCCCGCTTCTATTTATTTTAGATATCAAATTTATCAAAATTGTCAAGCATTGTACTATATCGTTATATGCAGATGATACATGTCTGTACCACGCTTCCAAAGACAAACAAGATTTACAAAATCCTCTGAACAAGGATTTACACTCAATATCGAAATGGCTTAATAGCAATGAAATTTTATTGAATGAAAAGAAGTGTGATTCATGGTTATTACATCAAATCATAAACGAAGGTCTTTTGATAATATCAATATCCAGGTACACGTAATCTCTCTAAAAACTGTTAAGACAATGAAGTATCTTGGAGTTCTTTTAAATGAGAAAATGAATTGGCAAGATCAAGTCCCACACGTAAAGAAAAAGACGTTATCCAGTATATATATTGATTAAAACGTGCGAGACCATACGGGCGTACAGTTATATAAAATCCTTGTGCAAATTCATTTTTTATCATTGATCGGCATTATGGAGAAATGCTTGCAAACCTCATCTTAAGCAAATATCAGAAATTCAAAATTGAGCACTACAAGTAGTTCCGTCTGTCGATAGCCGCTTCAATATAAATCTACTCTCTTCTATCCTAAAAGTTGACCCGTGTTGATACCGTTATACGAAAAAACATGCCCTAGCA